GGAGGAGAGCGTGTGGTTGCGCGCAAAGCTCCAAAACCCTAGTTAGTTAAACCCTAATTAGGTGAAACCCTAATTAGGAGAAGTCTTATTCAGGGTTTTGGGGTCGGATAACAACCTCGAAGAGGGAGTATAATATACTTGCCTTTTGTTTTCTTCGGCGTTTTTTTTTTTTATATAATTAATTTAAAGAAAATACTAAAAATAACAAAAAAATAAATAAATTAAATTTTGTTTTATTTTATTTTTAAATTCAGACATCTCTTCCTTCGGGTTATTGAGTTAGGGGCGGAAGCTCCGAACCCCATCCCAACGGGGGGAGCGGAAATACTGCCAAAACTTTTCTTGAAATTTTGTCTAATATTTCGAATCAATTAGGAAATAATTAGAGAAAATACTCAAAAATTGATTAAAAATTAAAATTTTCTTTTGAAATTGTTTACCTTTTGCTATACTCCTTCGGCGGCTATTTTAAGGCATTCGGCCACACCCCATCCCAACGGGGGGAGGCGAAGTGCTGCAAAAATTTCTCGGCTATTTACCAAGTTTTATTAATTTTAATTTAATTAAAAGAAAATATTTGAAAACCTAAAATTCCTTTGTGGTACTCTTTCCTTTTTGTTATACTTTGCGGCAAACATTTTTAAGGCTTTCGGCCGCACCCTGTCCCAACGGGGGGAGACGAAGTGCTGCCGAAATTTTTAGAAATCCGTTAAAATTCGTCGGGATCTTCTTAAACCAGGAAATTTTGCATAAAGACACATAGAAGGAATATATATATAAGAAAAATAAGAAAGGAATTTAATCTTGCAGGAGTGAATTTTCTGTAAATTAAATACAGTAAATATAGGAAAATTTCCTAGATAGCAAACGGAAAGGAGAATCGGAGTAGTAAAGAAGCGAAGTAGATCACCTTACCCGTCATAGGGGTTGGGTCCAGCAAAAAAGATTTTCTTTAGTTAAATTTATTTATTTGCCATTTATATACTACAAATTAAAAATAAATAGCTAGGGTGTGTAAAATTGAGAGGCGCGACTGCCGCGCTACTCCCTAAGGGCCGCCTAGCGTACCCTTAGTCAGTAGGGTAGAGCTAGTCGATTTCCTCTACTTAATTTTTTTTTTAATTAAATTAAACTTATTAAAATTCTTTAAAAATATAAATATGGCTTAGAAAATAGCCAAAAAGTGAGGGTGAACCTTTTTGCTCTTTACTTAGCTTGGGAAGGGCTTCTTACTTCATAGAGGCGGCCGGAGCAGCTACGGGCAGGGTCCCTTCAAACAAAGCACACGCTTTGTAGACGAGGAAACTCGAACCCTCCACTGCTTCTTCAGTGGACATCAGTCAGATGTGGACTTTAGAGCAGGTAGAAGTCTACGAGGCCACCCGAGCTTGGGACATAGAGCCTCCGGAGCTCATAGAGGGAGGACAGGTAGAGCTCACGCTCCCAGGGCGGCCTATTAAGTTGCACGACAGAGAGTTCGGGTGAAAATCCGTTTTTCTGACTTCTGATGCTTGGCTGTGGGTGTACAGACAACATGTGACGGAGGAGTATGGGAGTCAGACACGAGGAGTAGTACGGGCCTATCTTTACTTAGGAGAGGAGGCAGCTAAGGGGGCTGCTTTGAGTCTAGCGATTAGAGGGACCAACCCGATTATCGACAGGGTCCAGGGATTTTTGCAGCAGGAGGTCGACGGGTTTCATGCGGACGACGCACAGGATCCGTTAACCTTGTTTCACAACCGACGTCCTCTGGATATCACGGGCGATCATCTGCTGATAGCTCGAAACGACTTTTTCCCCTATTTGTCGAGTGCCTTGAGGGCTATCCTCCCGTCTTTTGTCGTAGACTCACTCTTCGGAGGCGTAGGGGGTATAGTGGAGACATACTTGGCCTATAGAGAACTATAAAAGTTTGTTAGGATCAGTCTAGACGAGTACTACTTGCATTACTCCCTCGCGACAAGAGGTCTTCGTTGGGGAGACGAGAGGGTCCAACTGATAGAGTTGATCAGTTCGTTAGGGGACGATATTCAGAGAGGGGTGCCGCCGCCCTCGTACGTCTGGGAGTGGCCGGATAGGGCACTTAGGACAGCACCAGAGTACGTCACCTGCATAGGCAGGCTTTTTTGGGAGGACTGAGAGAGTCTGTGGAGTGACGCACCTAGCGGACCCCTGATACGTGAGTATTTGCTGAGGCGTTATTATCAGGCGATCGGGCTCCCGCCATATCGCATCGAGGACGAGTACGACTACGACGGATGGGAGCGAGAGGACGATGAGGACGCCTGGGAGCCGGACTGGGTCGACCCAGAGAGTGAGGTTGACAAGGAGGGGGAGGACGACACAGTGGACGCTCACTTCCCGCGCATAGGGGTACCGATTAGGGCCTAGGCGGATTGTGTGGCGAGGCGAGTGCGAGCTAGGTTAGCCGTGAGATTCGGCAGTAGAGTGAGAGAGAGAGAAAGGAGATCTTGCAGGCAGATGGTAGAGGAGATCGAGAGAGTCGACCTACCCTTTGGTAATTTCAGATGACCTAGACCCCCCGAGATCATAGCTCCTTACTTGGTGGAGCTTGATCTACCGGCCAGATGCGTCGATGAGCCAGGGCTGATTGGCCATAGGGGGTCGACTCGGCTGGGGCCAGACGTGCACCTATGGTCATATGTCGTTCAGACCTACGAGTCTGATCCGCGGAGATGGCGGGCGCCTGGTACGACGTCCATAGAGGCCGTAGGGCATATTTATTATTCATGTGAGGTGAGCGATGTCGTTTATATCCAGGGCTTGGTGCATGGGTTCTGGCGGTATGAGAGAGAGGTTAGAGAGATCCTGACAGGCGTGATAGAGAGTGCACGAGAGAGGATTGAGGATCTGCATGGGCCTGTCAGGGAGACGAGGATTACGTTTCGGATAGGAGGATTTGCTTTCCCGACAGTCCGACTACTCGCCAGGTTCCCGGTCTTTGTAGTGGAGCAGCTTTGGGGCTTGGGGTGCGTCGTGGAGAGATATTTCGCGGCTCTAGAGCTCGATGGACTAGCTAGAGGGCAGACGGACAGGGACTGGATTGCCTACGCACAGTTCGTATGTGGGCCTCTTACTGGAGAGAGGGGGATACAGCTCATTGAGTTCTTACGTGCACTAGCGCCGACAGAAGACCCCCACTCTTTTTTTTTCGGGCCAGCCCTTGGAGTTCTGGCTGGCACTAGATAGGGAGGTCCAGAGACCAGTGGATAGTTTGGAGGTGGTCGGACGACTCTTTAGCGAGACTCCCGGTGATAGGCCTGCTTCCCTGATCTCTATCTGGGAGTTGGAGGAGCATTACCAGGGTATATATCCAGATAGAGAGGAGCTCGGCTGGAGCGCGGACGATCGAGATTGGGAACGCCTCAGTGACGCAGAGCTTTGGGGACAGGACGAGAGATTGTGGAGAGACGTGCCTGACGTAGGGCAGGGCGAGATTGGCGCCGATATAGACAGGCCGCAGGAGGGCGGCTGGGGACATCTCCTTCAGGACGAGGGACATGAGGATATCCCATGGGGTCAGGGGGTAGATGAGGATGGAGATGAGGATATGCCAGATGCGCGAGACGACTAGTGGCAGGACATATCCGGGCGTGGCTTAGGGAAGGGAGTAGGAGATCGCTTAGTAGGCAAAGGGAGAAACTTTAGGCGAGACGAGAGTGTCAGTAAGAGCAGGAAGGGATGGCAGACAGGGATACACTGAGAGTGATTCTTTCCTTACGACGAGATAGGACGTGCGGCTGGGAAGAAGAGGCGTTGGACAATGTTGAGCGACAAATCAGACTCATGACGGAGCATGCCCTGGAGATACGGAGAGGCCAGAGATACGTCGAGTTTACTATCTACTTCCATGGAGCTGACGGGAGAGTGCACAGCACCTACTCGACCATACTGGACTTAAGTGGGAGAGTGGTCTGAGGAGTCAGCAACATCGTGAGATAGGGTGCGTCAAAGGGAGTAGAATGACACAGATCGAGTGCCGAAGTGGAGATGAGGAGTGACTCGGCGACTTGGTTGGATTATGTTCTCTCACGAGAGTCCGAATCCTATAGCGTGAGGAAACTTGTAAGGCCCAGAGAGACGGCTGTTGGATATGATATTCCTCTTCCTGTGGGGTTAGAGGGGACTTGCTGTGTTCCGATACGTTACCTTGGGACGTGGTTGGCAGAGGGGCTTTTCCTTTGGACGGTGGTACTGAAAGATAGACGACCCGAAATGACTCACGACCTAAAAGGGGTCGGACATCTGATAACGGACAAAGCTCATGATTTAGACATAGGACTGACACTCGCAGGGGCTAGCAGGGCTTGGTGGAGAAACGAGTTGTTGGCCCGAGTGATCGTTAATCAGCAACTGGCGAGACTCTCTGGAGGAAGGTCGTATTGGAGTCGCTTGGTATACGGACCTTCGCAATCGACCCTCTACCCGAGAGAGGGTTGGCGATTTGGACTTCCTCGTTCGTAATAGGGCAGACCTATAGGAGCGTAGATCGTCTGAGTATAGCAGTGGACCACACACTTTACGCGCTTTGGGAGGGTTTAACTCCTCGTTTCAGGGAAGCATACTACGCCATTTGTGTAAGGTGGGGGTCATCCAGCAGAGAGACGCTTGACGACATCATAGACGTTACTTGCTGGGTGGACTATCTGAGGTCAGTCGATCTGATTAGGTACTGCAGGAGATGAGCATAGATTGATTATGTGGGGCTGGAGGATGTGAGATTTCTCTTCGAGGTCGCAGCTTAGGGAATGTCGGAGAGAACTGCAACCGCGATACGCTTAGATAAACCATTGGTAAGCACAGGGTACACTATGACAGTATTTCTCCGAGTATACATAGATGAGGACTTGACGGTGAGGGAGTGTCGATTACGAGCCAGGGAGCTGATCCGCGAGCATAGAGCTGATGTACTGGTGCGAGTGACCTTCCAGACCTCGATTTCCTATGACGTGATGATATGGTCTCATGGTTATATGCGCGCGGAGCACTACCACGATGGGACGGTAGCGAAGACTAGAGCAAAGGTATGAGGATGAGCTGGAAAAAAATGTGGACAAAGTATGGAAGAGGAGAGTGAGGCGATCGGAAGAGTGAGAAAACGCATCAAAGAACCACTCTTGAACCAGGTAAAGGAGTTGGGGAACAAGATAAGGGAGATCGGGTCATGCCAGGATGAGGGCAAGCTGCGTAGGGTTGAGCTCGCGACGAAAGAGTTGAAGAGTTTGTTCAGGGAGGATAAGGAGATTATCCAGGCGTGGAGATCAGACTTTCTGGGGAGGGTAAAGGCTAGGAACCTATTGCGCGAAGGAGCTAGGGAAAAGTCTGCAGAGAACGTAGCAACGGAGGACAAGGTAACGAAGGGAGATAGCAACAGGACATGAGCGGGACTGCCCTACACACGACGGACAGGTACTCATTGCATGTCGTAGGGAGACTGGACGGGCCATTGGTGTTAGTGATCGCAGAGCTCCACCTCCATACCAGGTTGTGTATAGTTGAGGAGGCAGAGTATGTTCGTCGTGCATTGCGTGAGGCTAGGGGAACAGGACTTTGGATTGGAATGGAAGGAGGACGAAGGATAAAATACGTACTTCGAGTAACACCTTTCGAAGGGCGGTCTGAGATAAGGGCATGGTACGAGACGACCAAAGAGGCTGAGAGGTTGAAGATAAGCGAGGCCAGGAGAGCTGGGGAGCTAGGGAGAGTTATAATAGACGAAGCGATACTGAGGGTGCTAGCTGCTCACGACCGATACTGGAGGGAATCGATAAAGACTTTAGAGGCTATAAAGGATAGTGGAGATGAGGAAGATTTTGAGATGTTCTATGACATATTGGAGTTGTCGGTGATGAGATTACGAGCAGCTATAGCACTGACTTCCCTCAGATACTAGACAAATGACCTTATAGTTGTCTGGGAGTTAGAGGAGGAGATGGTTAGATACAGTAGGAGGAGAGTTTCCTCCTTTTGTGGGCTACCCGATTCAGGACGGACTAGATGATCTAGCTAGGAGGACGGAGATAGACGCTCGAGAACTCTTGAGGGGTGCAAGTCGGGAGACATTGGTTAGGCTTGGGACTGCGATCTGCAGCAGGAGTAGAGATCCTGTCACGGGTGTAGTGCAGATCAGGAGAGGCGCGACCTTGTTGGCAGAGCCTGAGGAAGAGGTTTACATAGACACCGGGATTCTTGGGATAGAAGGAGAGCACGAGGTCCGCGATGGGAACGGAGTACTGGTGACGGTAATCAGAGCAGTCGAGAGCTAGGACTGGAGACGAGAGCGAACCATGACAAGTAAACAGGTCCAGGCTGCGAGTTCTGTCACAGGTCCGGGATGCTGCAACTGTCATAGGTCCGGGCTGCGAGTTTTGTCACCGGTCCCGGCTGCTGCAACTGTTATAGGTCCGGGCTGTAACGCCCGACGAGCCCAACTACAGTTTCTGGAAGCCTCTGGAACCAGACACGATGGGGCCACAACCGACCACGGCCGAAACAAGAGAGGAGTACAGGACATCGCCCGACCGAACACTGAGGGATCTGAAGGAACGAATTAGGCAGGGGGCACCGCTGAGATGGGCTGACCAAACCAATGACGGAGAGCCCGACGTAATGGGCGAGCCGGTCGTAACAGAGCCGCAGGAGGCTCTGAAGACTGGAACCTCGAGCACGCGACGAGAAGCGACGACACGACGTTCCCCCGAGTATGAACGGGGGGAAACCAAGGCGGATAGGCACGGGGACGACTGGAGAGAGAGTTCACGAGACTCCTATTGGAGGGACAAAGACAGGGATAGAGCACCGCCCCGGCGTGTCTTCGACCCCCAGACAGGGGAGTCTCATCCGCTCCCTTACGAGAGCAAGGATCGCTACATTATTACGCACAAGGCTTCGGAGCCTCCTACTTTCAGGGGCTACAGTATCACAGAATATCTGGAGAAGTGGGAGCTTCATGCTAGCCGGAGTCAGTGGTCGGAGGAAGAGATTATAGAGAACTTCCTATTTAATGTGGATCCAAGTCTCGGCAAAGAAGTAAAGGAAGCCCGGCCGAAGGATGAGAAATGGACTACGTATAAGAAGAACCTCATTGAGCTTTACAAATTGGAAGATAACAAGTACTCCATCAAGGACCACCGACTATGACTCGGGATGAGGACGAGAGCGTACGGACGTTCAGAAAGCGTTTTCAGAAGATCTCTGACGTACTGATGAAGAAGGGGAAGATCTTAGAGGTCTAGCGCTGTACTATCTTCATTGGACACTTATCCAAAGGCAGACAAAAGAGTATACTTAGAGATCTCCCGCGCGACAAGCTTGACTTCCCTGAAGTCCTAAAGCTCGCAATAAAGGCAGAGGCAGGCGACTACAAGGACTTGGTATAGAGAGGAATGAGGAGGCGTGATTTTTCTCTCTATAAGGAGTATGCCACTGATAGATGTCCTGATTTCAAGGACTATCCTTGGTCGGAAAAGAATGAAGCCGTGACTGAGGAAGTGAAGGAGATAAGGGACATGGTAAAGGGATTGACAAGACAGGTTACAGAGATTGTGACTACCACAGGAGCCACGACTTACCGGGACAAACCCGGAGGACCCTATTCACTTCGCTGGGACCGTAGGAACACCGATTCCTGGAGGAGTGTCGAGGATAGAAATCCTCGAACGCTGACTGATTATCGTGCGAGGGAAAAGGAGAGAGACGATGAGTCATGGCGATGTAGGGATGATGATATAGACCTGGACCGCAGGGCTTGCGAGACGTATGGGCGAGCTAGGAGATTGGATGATTACTCGCATAGCCCTCGCTATGAGGCTGATGGGGGCAGAGGCGACTCTCGAGGCCGGTGGGAGTCAGATCAGGGCTGACGAGACGGTTACAGGGATGGTAGATATGAGAGATCGGACCGATATGGATATAGGGACGACAGATACGAGAGGACGGATGGAGATGGATACAGGGGTGGCAGGTATGAGAGAGGAGATCGAGACGGAGACCGACGAGATGACTCGCGCGGACGGTATGACCGCGGGGGATTCGCGAGAGCGCAGCGTGACGATTCGCGGGGGTGGTACGACCGAGGAGATCGGCGCGATGAGTCACGCGGGCGATACGACCATGATGACCACCGGAATGACTCACGGGGGCAATATGAGCAAGGAGGATCCGGAGGAGACCGCAACAATGATTCGCGCGGCCGGAATGAGAGAGGGGGATATGGCACGACATCCGATCAGCATACAAAGTTCCCATACCCCAGAGCAGGGGAGAAAAGGTTAACAACATGTTTTTTTTTTCAGGATGCCTAAAGAGGTGAATTCAGGATGCCTATAAAGCTCTATAGTGGGAGTCATAGGAGGGGGGGGGGGCTTTTAGGCCCTTCAGGACATTCACCCGTTCAGGATCGTTCATATTGTTCAGGATGCCAAAATGACACAACAACGGAAACGAAAGGTGGGGATGGGTGCTCCTTTCAGACCTTTGAAGGCATTCACCCCTTCAGGATCGTTCCGGATACTCAAGCTTAACAGTGGGAGCCATACAGTGGGGGGGGGG